GACAAATAGGACATGCAATTTTTCCTTTGACGGGCCATCCAGATACATTTCCGTACGCAGGAAAGTCATGTATTGTCCACATCAAAATAGCTTTTAAGTTAAATGTAGACTTCGCAACTGCATCATACATCTCAACCCCATCACTCCATAACAATATTAAGTCATCGATAAGTGGTGCCAAATAAATATCTATGTCATTACCTAGCTGCTTTGGTCCCGGGATTAATAAACTCAACATCAAATTTTCCTTCGACATGCATGATGACGGAGGCAAGTTGTATATAGTTAAAATAACTGGCCAACAACTATATTTAGAGCTAAGATCTTTGAAAGGATTGAATCCATCGGTGGCAAGACCCAATCTAATATTTTGAGGATCTAACGCAAAATGTGGCCACCTTCTGTTTATCATTTCCCATCCCAGTGAATCAATTGGATGCCTCATTTTACCGTCTGAACTCTTATTATTTGAGTGCCATCTAAGTTGTTTTGCCATCTCTTCTATTCCAAACATCCTCTTAAGTCTTGGTATGAAAGGGAAATAACGCAAGACTTTTGCTGGAATTTTTTTTTGAACTTTCTTAGTTTGTTGGTTAACTTTCCATCTTGAGCAACCACATTTTGGACATAATTCAACATGTTCAAGCTCCTTCCTATATAGACAACAATCATTCAAGCAAGCATGTATCTTCTCATAGCCAAGATTAAATGTGTTGACAAGTTTTTTCATCTCATAAAATGAGTTAGGAAGTGTATTATTTTGTGGTAACATGTCCCGCACAAGATGTATGAGTTCATTGAAACCATTATCTGATAAACCATGTGCAGCTTTATGTTTAAACATAGCAACTGAAGCTGACATCTTCGTAAACGCCATACAACTAGGATACAAAGGAGTTTTCGCATTGCTAACTAAACGTTGAATGTCTTCCTCTGTTCCATCATGAGGATTTTCAGAATCTACATCATGTTGCGTATAGAAGTCCCTAAACATCCTACATGACTCAGGCATTTCTACATCGACCAAATTTGATTTACTTGGTTTTTCTCCATGAAATACCCAATCAGTGTACGTAGGATCCATACCCTTAATAATCAAATGTTCATATACTATTTCATAGTTGTGATGCTTTAGATTCCTACACTTGATACAAGGGCATCCTATCATTTCTGAATTTAGAGTTTCACAAGCTAGTTCTACAAACTTCCGTGCTCCATCTCTATATTGTTCTGAAAATCTACAACAACAATTGTATGATCATTTTATATTATTGTTAAATTTTGAAACTAGATTTATAAGATTTTGTTTCAGACAGTAACCTTGATA